GCAGTGGCGTGCAGTCCATATAGGCGAAAAGGCTTTGCCTACCTATAAATATCGTGAATATATAACATACATAAAATGTACAAACGCGTTTATTAAAATTCAATAATATAATAAAAGTTTGTAAAAAAACGGCTAACATAAATACGCGCCTTTGTAAAGTAATGAATGCGCCCCGCACGCACCACGCATGCGCCACTATTCCTTAAATCTTGGTTGGTAGTAGTGACGTCACAAAAGAAATGTACCAAAAGTATGCACCGCGCATGCGTGAAGTTCACGACCATAGTCACGGTACAGAATAACCATTCATAATTATATTACACGATTCCTGTTGATTGACAAAATGTTTGCAACTAAAAAATTAGAGGACCGTTCGTTCATCACTTGGAAAACGATCGTATTTTATTAAGAATTCTAAAACAATAAAACAGCAACAAGTTATTGTATTTTTAAAAACAATTAAATTATAAAAGGTTTTAAATTGATAAAATCTGTATATCGTAAAGTACTGATGAATGGAGTACATCAGCGCCATCTATTGAATTTTTTGTTGAAACTTCTGAACTCGTTCGATATAATGCGAATGTATTTTTATAAATGCGTATTTAACAAATATGTTTCAAGTGTTTTAATTAAAGCTTAACATTTTTACGCGTTGTCGGTTTATAGAAATTTTAAACGAGGAGTTGACTTTATTATTATAAAAGTTAAAAGGAAGTTATTGAAACTTCAAGATGGCGCCATTTACAACGTTTCAAATTATATGAATGAATGTTTTTTAGTATGAAATATTGGTTTAAGACGATGATGCAATTTCATTTGACTTACTAAATTAACCTTTGTTTTTTTTAAATTAAACGCTGCATTACCTTAATTTTTAAGCTACATTTTTTTATAATAAACACTCAATTGACTATTGGTAATGACTTCAATTCGTTTCCAATGTTTTCGGCCATATTGTTTTCATGTGATGTGCGATCGCTTTGTTTATGTTTTCGTTTAAATTATTAGGAATTAGTTTTAAACATAAAGTTGCATAAATGTGTAGTAGTAGTTAAATATATGTGTAGGTTTTTCAAATAGTGTATTTGTTTATCAGTTTCTAGTACAAGTACCTATATTATTCGATTGTGAAGTGTGTGTGAATAATAGGTAATTTTATGTGTTTGTTGAAAGTAAAAACAGTAAGATTTCGCAAGAAAATGTCCTTTATCGGACTAGATTCAGGTAAAGACCATAGGCAGAGGTGTACTCGAGTTACGAGAATTGACCCAAGTAAAAGGTAGGTAATGTAAATATGTACTATAATGGATCTTTTATTTGACTTTCTTGTTTATTGTTTGATAATTCTTAAATATATCAACTTAGACTTCGGGTTGTACTGATTCACATATTAATTTATTATTAATAATTATGTAATGTAGTAATAACATATGTACCGCATAGACTCGGCCGGCTCGGCCACAGCCGGCCGCGCTTGTTATTGTTTTGTTTGTTGACATAATGCAGGTACCTACGCTCTTAAATTCGTAATATATTATGATTTTGAACAGATTGATTAAACTAAACAATTCCATAATGAAATTTGGTTATCAAATTTATGCCTTATTATTAAAATAAATAATAGATCCTTCATTATTTGTAAGTTTTGTTGGCTTATTCAATAGCTGATGAAGTACTTCACAAAAAATACGCGAGATGTCAGTGTATGTAATTTGGCGACAGAATAAACCACAATATTCTTGAACGCACTTTTCAAAATGTATTCTGTACATGTACCTGTCTTGTGTAAGTATGATTGTATGACCGGGGGGGAGGGGTTTAATCATACGATATTTAGTTGCCTACCCTGTCTCGAAAACCTGTGCACGCCACTGCTTTTCACTATTTATGTTATGAGTCCCATGTAACAGGGGGTGAGCCTATTGTCATATACCGGGCACATTTCCAGACTCCGTGCTACTACTGAGATTTAAAAACCCAGTAATATTTTGCCCGACCCGGGAATCGAACCCTACTCGAACTACTAAATATAGAACTACTCAAAATTTAATAATGATTACAACAAGTACTCACTGGCACACATCACTAGTATGGAAGTCGTCGACGGGAGTCCGTCTGTCTGCCGCTAGATGGAGTAGTGTCTGTCCACTGCGTAAGCGCACGTTCCGAAGTCTGAAGATAGCGCGCCGCACTAAACTCGTTGTGTCCTGTACATTTGTATGGTTTTTATTTGTATTGTTTAATGGTTAAGTTTAAAACTATAAATAGATATTGTGTCATAATACCTTAATACAAAACCATAAATATACATACAGAAACGGGAAACATTCTTTATTTTCTGTAGAATAAATAGAAACAAATTTCTGACTTTGACATCAATACCTATCAACACAATAATTGAGTACTTGCAAACTAATCAAATTCAATACTTGTTTCGAACTGTCAAAAACGACTGTTTTCAATGAATTTTGTACGATATTGTGAATTGTGACGTCACGTTTTTTCACGTCAAACAGAGTACTTATTTCTTAAATTTTGCTGGAAAAATACTAAAATTATGTTGATCATAAAATCAATTAATGAAAATGTGATTTTGTTTTTAATTTTATTGCTAGTTTAAGTGTTCAATACACTGAACAGTCGAAATAATTTATTTTTGATTAACGAACGTACCCAATTAAGTACTGAATCATATCAAAAAAAAAAATCTAAAGTTACCAACCTCACAATTATCAGTATTCTCCAGCAACCTCGCTGCTACAGCAACAAGATACAGCGCGGTCCGTACGTTGCTCTCGTACTCGTCCTGCAACATGAACGTGCGCACCAGGCTCTACGCGTCAATACTCGCTACGTTACAAGTTGCAACCAACTCATAGCCATTACTGTGGAATGTGACTCAGCTATATTCGTTCCCGGAGACTTGATAACCAATCTGAGTACATGATAAACTCTGTGTGGGTTTAATAAATGTGTCACGACAATATGGACTTCTATTTAACACTAATTTTTGTTTGTAACGAATACATTTATACCATCGAATCGAATTAAAAACACATTTCACCTATGGAAAGAAATTATGCTATTTTTTATGGTGCTTTCACATCATCTAATCGCCGCGGGCGATCGACAAAATATTGTTGGACTTCCTTTCTGAATTATAATACTATCTGCAAGACAGCCTCAACTAAAAAACTTAAACCCCTAATTAAAAAACTAAAATAGCGTATGCGCAGCGTGCGCGGTCGCGGCGACGTCGCGCAACTCACTGGCTACGTCGCCAGCCAGTGAGCCCTTCTGTGTCTTCGATCTTCGAAACTAGTAGAGCTTTTCTCAGTATATTCACGTAAGTAACCCGCGATTTTATTTAATTTAGTATGTCTCACGATAGTTATAATAAAAAAATCAAATATTCATATCACATTGGCCATAAAGTCCACGAGAACCATTAAACAATGTTATATAAGCGTACATTAAGCGACCTCAGATTATATTCTGATCTTTGACACACAACGTTTTCGAAAACACCACTTTGTGTAAAACCAAAAACCAGTTAACACATATTATGAAAACCAACCTTACTGCTTTGGAATAAAAGCTAATATTGACACCAAACTTGACATACACATTCCCAATTCAGGCGATACAAAATGTACTCTATTTCTATCAAGTTAAAGTTGAGTGAACTTTCGCATAAACGCAAATTTTATACGTATACTGACACATACAAATTTCTCATTCGAGCAAACCAAAAGATACTTTAATTCGATCTAGTTGAAGTTCATTTTTGATCAAGATTAGTGTCAATATAAGTAAATACTGGCAAACAAGTATGTAATATGAAAAGCAAGATGAATTCTCACAGAGCGTTTGTACATACTACTAAGGATTCCGGATCGTGGTTTATTTGTGGCTTCTCTAAGCGTTTCGTGCCTCTGCGCAGCTCTTCTGCGCACGCTTCTAACACGAAACACACCTGAGAAGAAAATAAATTATGAATATACCTGTGTATGGTGAAATCAACTTTATTTGTGTTAGAATATAGTCAAAAATTGTGTTAAACGTTAGCATTTTCAAACTGCATCTGTACTAGCATAACGTGCCAAACTCAAAAACTACTGAATGGATTTCGATGCAGTTTTCAACAGTGGATTGACTTTGTAAAAGTTAAACAAAAAATTCTGAGTTTTACAAAGTAAAACTTCTTTAAATAATATAAAAAAACAAAATGAATATTAATATGTTTACCTGTGCAAGAGGTAGTTCAATTCCTATGTGTATCATTTGTGAGAACACTTGAGCAAATCTAAGTAGATCCTTCACGACTGAGACCTGGAAATGAAAAGGAAAGTTATAATTTAGTTTTTTATAAGACAAAAACTGCTTTTTAATATCCTAAGAATACGACAGTTAAGTATGAGATCTTAAAATAATTAAATAACAATAAAAGTTGCCTCAGACTGCCTCATTGGCCGAGTGGTCACAAGTGCAACTGCCGGGACAGGGGTCTCGGGTTCGATTCGGGTAAAGTATACTACTGAGTATACTACTCCGTGCTACTACTGAGGTTTGTAAAAACCTCAGGTGGGCGACGCCGATTGCTTACCATCAGGTGATCCGTCTGCTCGTTTACCATACCATATGCCATAAAAAAATATAGCCTTTTAACCTATCGGTATCATCATTCACACAGAGAAACATGTCACACAAGATATAGTATTATGAACGAGTATGTAATGAGTGCAGTAGACCTCGTTATGCTGCCTGAGATGCAGCGCGTGCCGCCAGAGCGCGAGGCAGCGGTCGAAGCGCGCCTCGTCCGCGAAGACGGCGCCGCGGAAGACGATGGGGTGCGGCAGGTCGGGGCAGCGCGCGCCCAGCACGCGCTCGCGCACGGCCAGCCCCTCCATGTGCAGCGCGTGCGCGTCGCCCGACAGCGCCTCCACCTCCTGCCGGGGCCGTTCGGTACCACACTTCATTACTTACAACATCCACAGACTGTAAATGCCCACTGCTAAACAAAGCCTTTCTCACACGGAGAAGGCTTGAGCATTAATCACAATTCAATCAATTTGAAATTATAAGCCCAGATTTCCTCACGAGGTTTTCCTTCACCGTTTGTCAGTGGTGTCTAAATAATCTTAGAAAGTACAACTCGGAATAAGTCAGATTGGTATTTGCCATTGGTAGGTTTATGAAATTAATATAGGTCTCAATAGTTGGGTTTATGAAATTTATTTAGGACTCAATTATAGTTTGGAGTTTTTAACTAAGATTTAAAATGTCTGTCAAAAAACTTACGATTTAAAAGTTTCGGATAAAATTAATCATTAATTTCAGTCAACCAGTATAACTGATTGCCATTAATTCTTGAGCGACCACCAAAATATAAATAAAACAAGTGAATTTCTTTGTGCAAATAAGCTACAAGGCAGCACTTTTACACGACAATTTTATCGACATCGACATTTCCTAACTGACTACTCTGAGAAGAAATTCCGAAACAAACTCGAGGTATATTATACATTAGCTAGAATCTTCCCCTAAGAAGAAGAGGGTGTCCGCTATAACCGTCACACTTAACTTGGGACACAACCAGTATATTATTATTAATGCAAATGCATTATTAACTCTAAGGAAATATGGCTGAAAATTGCATAAGCTGACCTCTATCGTGGTACTCTCCTTCCAGTTGTCGTACGCTGGTATGGGATCAGCCGGTTTCTTCAGTAGCAGACCGTATCGAGTGTCGTACCGCATCGTCATCGCTCTGTGTAAGTACTGGTACGCCATCTATGGACACGACCACATTTAAAAAAAAAAATAAGATTGTCTTTAGCTAACTTTTAGCATAGAAATGTCAAAAAAATAAGTACTTATATTCTCAACATCCTTTTAGGAAGGAAAGAGCGTAGAATAATGAAATAGTTTCATGTCCTATGTCAATTAAAAATCTTGTTTGGAGTTTCTGTCAAAACCTTAGATTAGACCGATTCAAAGATTTTTGATTTATTTTGGTCATAAGAATAAATATTCAACATTTACCCCTTTCGGGAAGTGAGGAGAACAACCCAATAATGACTATAGCTATGAACATACCCTGAGGCAATAGTACTCCTTGTCGTTCGCGAAGGAAGCCCCGAGCAGTTCGAATGCCTCGATGGCCTGTGCCCTCGTGACCTCGGGCCGCACTGCCAACATCTCCACTACTGACGCACGGGCACGCTCCGCCGCGCATTGTAACGGTGTCATACCTGGGAATATGGAACAGAATAGAGTACAGATATAAGTCGAGGGTAAAAGTACTCGCGGGCGTTCTCCGACGCAGTAGATATCTTGTAAAGAATGTGAACTAGGCCAGCATTAACGAATACTTTTACTCATCTTTAGTCGAGTTTAGCATTTCGTACGTGCTCACTTGCGATGCTACGTGGAGATACATTGAAAAAGCAACACTTTGGACAATGAGAACTATCCGGCATCATGACCACGACGAGAAGGAGAAGAAGTAAATAGATAGTTGTCATATTTCCATAAGTATTTTTCAAATGACCCTATCATTTGAAAAATACTAGGGGGACAAACAAGTGAACTGATTACCTGATGGTAAGCAATCAGTACCCATGGACACTCGGATATTTTTTGTTTGTGGGAAACAACTTACCATTTTCATTGGTAAGTATCTTGGCGTGGTGGTCTATGAGTGCGCATACAACTGCGACGTGTCCGCACTCCGCCGCGAAGTGTAGCGCCGTCGCACCGCATAGCGCTCGCTCATCTACTCGTGCGCCGCTGTCTAGTAAAAACTTTACCTGAAAACAATATAATACTCGTTATAGAAGACATCTATCTTATTCTTAAATTACATTAGAAGATAGGTATGCAATTTTAGGACTAAAAAACAAAGTATCAAAGCCTATTTTCGACCTCAAAGTCGAGCAGAATATTATATTATTGATTGTAATTCAGAACACGAAGTATTGGCTTCCCAATTTATAGGAATATACTTGAATCGAAATATCCTAATAACTGGTGAAAGTATTAATGCTGAGGTACTCTAAGCGTACCTCTGGTTCCTTCGTACCTTCTAGGTAACAGACAAAATAACGTTTGTGGCTTTAGAAAATAAACTTTATGAATACAGAAATAGAGTATCATTTGGCTATGGGATTTCTTAAATATTTTAACTCATTCTGACAACTTAATTGATGATGATGATGATGACAATTCTTAATATCAAAAAGACGTATTGAACTAATATGAATTTTCATCGTGACAATATACTGAACTTGTATGGAATTATAAAGCAAAAGTGACAGAGATAAATCCGTGCAAAGTGACCTGCGCGTAACCTACGATACTAAACGATAATGCGTAGTACATTTTCATTACAAAAATAGATTATTTTGTTTTTTTATTACAACAATTATCTTTTTTTCCATTCAAATGTAGTTATATTGTATCTACTACATTGTATTGTTGAATAAGGCGATGCAACTATAAAAAGCTACTTTTATTATTTTTAAGAAGACATGGCTTCACTGAAAATCCTTATTGATTATTCATTTATATTCAGCCGTGATTCCACTGCAGGGCAAAGGCCCCCCTAACCTCCTTCCTCTACTCTCTATGTCAAACTTTTTGCGGCAAACCTTGTAATAATAAGACTAGCTACTTCCGCGCGGTTTCACGCTCTGCTCAGCTCCTATTAGTCATAGCGTGATGTTTTATAGCCTATAGCCATCCTGGATAAATGCACTATCCAACACAAAAAGTATTATTCAAATCAGACTTGTAGTTACGAAGATTAGCGCGTTCAAACAAACAAACAAACTCTTCCGTTTTATGTAATAGTATAAGATTTTGTCTTTTGTCAAAGAGGCGAAGGGCGTTTACAAACTTACACATCATAATATGCAGACCGGGAAGAACAATTTCAGGAACAAACACCTAACTCAAGTTATTATTTAACGAGGAACTACACCCAGTAGTGGCGCGACAGTCGCCGCGTCGCGGGTCGCGAAATGCTGCTCATGAATATAAGCCTCTAGCATGACTTGAAACTACTAGTCTTGTTCCTTGTCAAAGAATTACGTAAGTCAGTTGAAAAAGATAGTAAGTAATTTAGTATGTCTCACGAAAGTTTATAAAACAAAGAGTTATTCCTTGTTCCTTCAGCTCTGAAACCAACTGGCCAGTCCTCATTATGATTAACAGTCTATGCGTGCCTACTGCTATGCAAAGCCTCTTCTCACAGGGAGAAGGTTTGAGCGTTAATCGCTACGCTTGCTCTATACGGGTTAACGATTTCATACAAAAAAGATATATTAATTCGAGGCAGGCGTTCTCGGGTTGGATGCCCGGGTCGGAAAAAGTATTACTGGGTTTTTACAAAATCTCACGGCACGGAGTCTGGAAATGTGCCCGGTATATGGCAATAGTCTCACTCCCTATTACATGAACATAAATAGTGAAAAGTGGGTGTTACTTCTGTGTGCACCTCTGCCTACCCCTTCGAGGATAAAAGGCGTGATGTTGTGTTATGTTTAATATGTCAAACTCACCACATCCAAATGTCCTTTATACGCTGCTATCATCAAACAAGTATTGTTATACTTGTTAGCCTTATGCACATCTGCTCCATGCCTGACCAAGTACTTCACAATATCTAGTCTTCCATCAAAGCAGGCGGCTCTGAGGGGCGTGCTAAGTGTTTTGGTGGCATGGTTCACGTTGGCACCAGCTCTGACCAGTCGCTTCACGATGCCAAGGTGCCCCGCCCCCGCTGCACACCATAACGCTGTTGCTCCTGTAATATAACATCATACATTGTTATTTTTATGGCTTTTTTTAGATGAGACAAACCCGCCACAACCTCCAAAAACCGCTGCAACTCCTGTAAGCCAGGATCTACAGTAGATACAACCATGAAAACACCGGAACACTGAAGTCCGGCGCGTTCCAGGGACATGAATAACTGTCTTGGTTCCCGCAACGAAGTAAATAAGAAGATATTATAAAAGGAGAACAAAAAATTAATAAAATAAAAATGGGATTAGGCTGTAAACGCTCAGACGGATCACTTGATGGTAAGCAATCTGCGCCGCCCGTGGACACCCGAAACACAAGAGGCGTTACAAATGCGTTACCTTTTGGGGATTAGGAATTTGACGATTGATGGGATTCGGTGACAGATTGGTGAAGGGGGTAATTGGGCCTCCGGTAACCTCTGATCACATGACGAAACAGAACGCAAGCGTTGCGTAGCGTCATAAGTACTAATACAAATAGTGGTTGCATGAAAAACTGCTGAGTAGTATTACCGGCCCAATTCCCACAAACTTGTGCAAGTGAAGTTCAGAATTGTACAGTAAAAACTACTTTTCACAATAATATTGTTTTCCTACTTAAATCACCTGTTTATAATAAGGAAATTTCGGGAAACCTAGTATTCAATGAAGACATTAGTTCACACAATAACATGAGCCAAATGTATCTTCATAAATATTTACATTGACGCTTGCGTAAACTGGCAATAACATAACGACTTTAACCAACCATTTGTATAATTCTTATCAACCTGAGACCACTTCCTCGTAATCAGAAGCCATCATAACATTAATTTTACCTACATTTCAAATGTGAAAGTCTTTTGTAACATCTTGAATTGCGTCTGAACAAATGTTTTTCTTTGTTTCAACGTTTTGTTGCTTTGTTTGTTAAGCATACATGCCAAAATTGCTAAATCGATTTCGATTGAGATTTTTGACAGATAGAGATGGAATCTCGGATATGGTACCCAATTGGTTTTTTGGGAAATTTTAAGTGGACTATGCCTCCGGTCGATTCGGGAATCTAGCGGTCATGTCAGACGCGTCATATGACGTCATGGCCCCTAGGTAGGCCACCACTTGCTTCACTGTAAAAGAAGGTCCACCATATCCATTTTGCCACGGTCCCCAATGAATGCAGTTACATAACTGCGAGTGAAATCAAAATAATACTAGCGACAGTTATTTTATATTTATTTCGACACAGGCCCTTGTGTTTGTCGCTCCCTTGGTCTTGGTTCGAGAACCCCGACATTCACACACCCACGGTTCAAACGGTAACTATTATTAATCACGACCGCTAATAATATCACACAAAAATACATTTCAATGTCACGCATCGAATTTTTCATTAACAGCTCATGATAAAATTTACAAACCCAATCATTAGTTTCAGTAGAAGCGATAATCAGATAAATATAATAATTCATCACGATTAGATAATTCCAAGAAAGGATTTATTATTATTAACAAAGATCGAGGTGATTATCAGTCTGTAGTGAATGAATGTAGGACCAGGAACTGCATCTAGTCACGAAGAGCGATGCCAAAACCTACAAATCCTTTATAATGCTGGTAAATCATGAATACTGGGAAACAAAGAGGTTTGGAAGTCCGCCAGATACGTACCAAAACGTTCCGAGAGACGATTTTCAGTTTCTTTGTGTGTAAACTTTCACACATTTCTATATATAAACCGTTGAGTTCCCGACTTAGACAAAAAATGGGAGTCAATGCGCCGTACGGTCGGGAGCACGTTGCAGGACGCTTTGTGCACCCAATGACGTACTGCCGTGCTTTTATTTGGAAAATTATATTTGACATTGAAGTAAAATAAAGATGCACGGAATTAAATGCGTGTTCTAAGAACGACGGCGATGTAACGTGGGCGGTCAATTTATTGGTGTAAGCTTCATAAACATACTCCTTTGATGATACTGCGCGTTTCCGATCAAACTTTCGATTCTGTACATGATTACTCTTGTCATTTAAGATCACATATATAAAACGAACATTGACTCGAAAGATACAAAGACAAACTCCAAAAATCCAACCATTCAAAAACTATTTCAACTGAATCACCACGTCTATAATTTGTCAAATAATTCCAAGATCTTTACTCATTGTAGTATTTTAGGTTTAAAATAATTTTCATATAAGTCAGGCCGACCCAGAAATATGTAGGAAATTAAGAATCTAGACCAAAGTATCGATTCACTGGATATGCAGACCGCGGCATACATTCGAGGGTGTTGCACAATCGCAAACCTTCAAGGCCGAGGTCTTGAGGCTATATGCTCTGGATTTCGAAAATATTACGTATAAGTAGAACATCTTCTATATGTATTATTTGTTCATAATTAACTTAATCTAAAGTTGTTTAAATAGTCTGGTAGATTATTTTAAATCATTACACACGTATTTTTTATTTTGTTACAGAAACGAATACTTTCGTAGATATATTGATTTGAAATGTCGCGTGACGTCACTTCTATGTACATTTTATACGTAAAAATGACGTTTTAACCTCCACTCCTAAACCTCGATTCGTTGTATTTACGTATTGTTTTATTATATGACAAAATAAAAAAATAACTAACTTACGGACTAATTAGATTTTTAATTTTCATGTCCTGTCATCAATCATCATCCCAATTTTTTTTTTTATACCACGGCGGTGGCAAAAAAGCCCAATACTAATCCACATTTTCTGTCAGTTAATTTGTATATTTACTTTGATAACCTATTTTTAGGGAGATTATAGGTTACATTATAGTTTTATTCTTCAGTATACTATTGAAAAATATTGTACAAGTGTGTGACATCTATCCACACACTTTAAATGTATGTACACAATCGAGGGATGTTTGTACTAACGAACGTGTAAAACGTATACAAAAATGAATCGCCGAAATATTTTTTTAAAGCGCATTACTTCGGAATAACATAACATAACATCACGCCTTTTATCCCCAAAGGGGTGGGCCGAGGTGCACATAACGCCACTGCAGAATGTAACACCCACTTTTCACTATTTATGTTATGAGTCCCATGTAATAGGGATTGAGCTTATTGCCATATACCGGGCATAATTCCAGACTCCATGCTACTATTGAGATTTTTTTTAAAACCCAGTAGTACTTTGCCCGACCCTGGAATCGAACCCGAGACGCCTTGCCCAGCAGTCGCACTTGCAACCACTCGGCCAACGAGGCAGTCTTCGGAATAACTACAACAAATTCGATGTTGAAAAAGTAACTGGAGTTTCTAACTCGTTCTTCTTCACAGTATACCTTGGGACAAGATAGGTTTACTAGGGACCGATAGACAGGTAAAACAAGCTTTTAGTTCCACCTGCAAAGCTAATGAAATCTTCATAGAGTAAATAACGTATTGATTGCACTGTTTTTTTTAAGGGGGGAATATCGTCCGTATGACTGCTCCCACCTGGGTGAGGCGGGAGGGAGTGTCAGACACTTATTGACTAAAAACCATCCCGTTCCTTCTCCTGCACGTCGAGCCGAAGCCCCGGTAACCCGTTAGGTTCTCCGCGACAATTGCACTGTTTACCGTGGTGTATAGGCAACAGACTGTAGAGCACGGATTTGATTCCCGCACGGAACAATTTACTGTGTGATCCACGAAATGTTATTCCGAGCTGGATGTGATGTCTATTGTGAAATTGAGTTTCTGTATATGTTTTTTTTTTTTGAAGGCCTAAAATCATCCAATGGCTTCGCCCATTTTGGGTAAGGCGAGAGAGGAGTGGAGATAGACCAAGTACACTAGGTAAAATCTCAATATCCTAACCAATATTATAAATCGGAAAGTGAGTTTGTTTGTTTGTTCCGCTTTCACGCAGTAACTACTGAACCAATTGCTTTGAATTTTTACAGTCGTAAAGTTCGGAGTCCGTATTAAATAATAGGGTACTTTTATCCCGGAAAACAAAAGTATTGGTATAGATTGCGCCTTGTGTATTGGTATATATCACATAGGCTACTTTTTATCCTTTTGTGACGCGAGCGAAGCCGCGGTTAAAGCTAGTTTCTAAATAAAATAAAGTATGAAGAATAAACTGACCTTCAATAACATATTCATCAAATTTGACAGTGCCTTCGGTCTCAGTCCTGACTGGTGGGCGGAACTTCTCCAGCAAGATGCGAACTGCACCTTCCCGCCCATGTCTAGCTGCTGCTATCAACGGTGTGCACTTTACTCCATCACAGCATATGTCCTGCAAATGATAAAAATATTTATACACAAACTCATTGAAGAGTCATCATCATCATAACATAACGCCTTTTATCCCCGAAGGGGTAGGCAGAGGTGTACATTATGCCACTGTACAATGTGCCACCCACTTTTCACTATTTATGTTATGAGTCCCATGTAATAGGGGTCCTATTGCCATATACCAGGCACAATTCCAGACTCCGTGCTACTAGTGTGATTTTTTTGAAAAACTCAGTAATACTTTGCCCTAAACGGGAAGCGAACCCGATACCCCTTGCCCGGCAGTCGCACTTGCGGCCACTCGGCCATTGTCATGCAGTCATTGAAGAGGTATAGGAAAAATACGAAGTAGTTTCAGAACTTTAATCACAGGTAAAAAGTTATAAGAAGAAATGAGAAGACCTGTGATCAATGGTTGCCATATTTTGATTGCAAAACTCCATAATAAAACCTATGAATCTTAAAATGATTTTGAAATTAGTTAATTAAACCTAGGTATGAAGAATGCTACCGCATATGTATGAAGTAATACTGCGATATACATATTATTCTTTGAAAGTGATAATTATGTAAATGAAATATAGGAGCTACTTTACAAAAATTATAAAATAATATATTAACCCTGAAATAATATAAATTAATTTCATAGCATCACATTTAGTCTTGAAAACAATCAATGTCTCCATTTTGTATACTCATACACATGTTTTGTGGTAAATATTCAATCAAATAAAACACAGACAGAGATATAGTTTAACATAACCTTGTGTGAAAATACTGAGAAATGCTCTACTAGTTTCGAGACACAGAGGGGCTCTTCCTCATGAGCAGGGTGCGCGGTCGCGGCAATAAACAGCAAAGAAGTTAAGACGCGTTTAGTTAATTTAGTTTGTCTCACGATAGTTATTATAAAAAATATTATAATCTTAATACAAATCTTCGAAAATCAGTACTCGGAAATATGTTTACAACACATGTATTATATTTTTGTTTGTTGTCCACACTTAAACATGTCAGTCCAAAGGTCGTTGACATGTCATCAACCTAAATACATGCTTGTAAATAACAAAGGGTTTTTACTCTTTGTTTATATAATACATACTTTTCTACATTTCCTACAAATTATGGAGGTTAAAGTGTATATAGGGCCTTCACAGATATCCCTAAAACTTGAAGTCTGATCACTTCAAGTTTTAGGGATATCATCAATATAATATCACTATCATATAATAGTGAATACTTCACTTAACTGCAAATGTAGATACACTTCTGGCAGTTTTGGCAATACAGATTCATTATGAACTGTCCACTGAAGAACTTACGAAGAGGACTATGAGCAAGCTGTGATGCCGTTTAGTACCGTGCGTTTAGTCTGCGGGCCCTTCAAATTAATTATCATCATCATATCACCCAGAAAATGTCTACTGCTGAACATAGGCCTCCCCAATGACTTTATAAGGTTACATAAACATTACTGCACCTGTCAGTCATCCAGAGCAGACAAAATTCACAGGGTATCTAATAGGAAGACTGTGCGAACATTTTGAAAGTGATATTAAAATTCATTATAAATTTAGTATGTCTCACGAAATTTATAGTAATTTCTCAAATTGCTCTGAAAACAAATACCCTCACACTAATTTTATTTTAAAATAGTCTAAATTTTTTAATCTGTAATTTTAAAAAATTAAGATCAGAATCAAGAAGATAAATCTAAGGTCTTAATTTCTATAAGACCAGTTTGTCATAACATATTATCATAACAAGAAGGTTGCCCACAACAAGAAGGTTAGTGGCAGAAGGCAGAGACCCTAAAAAACATAGAGCAGATGATGAAATAATACAGCAGATTCAGTCGTACATTGATATCTGCTTATGAAATTAGAAATGAAATCAACATTATAATTATTTTTACAAGGTTGACAAAACATACATATCTCTGGAATCAGCTGATTTTCAAAACATTTGTTTAGTTCTTTGAAAGCCAATTTTTGAGTAAGGTTATCTAAGAACATTATCTTTGTTAAGATTTTTTGTAATGTAATGATGACTAAATAAAATTTAAGCAACTACATATAATAATGTCTAATAAGATTAGTGTTTATTGTGACAGGTTACACTCAAATTAGAATCAGTTATTATAATTTGATTCCTGTTCTATCTAGCACAGCTGATTCAAAAAACAAACAAAATTGAAATCTCTAACAAAGATAGTATTTGAAGTATACATTAAAGGCAATTTAAAATTGAACTAAATAGTTATATGTTAGCTAATAGGCATTCAAATTTAATGTAATGGGTAAATAAAGTATAGAACAACTTTTTGCAACCTCTTCATGATAACAATCAACAAAAGGCAATGTGTGCAGTAATCATGAGCAGAGCGGGCGACCCCAACCAGCGGAGGCTTTCGCAAGCACAGCGCAACTCAAGGAAATGAAACTGGCAACTGGTACCAAGGTTACGAAGACGTTAAATGTGCGTTACGACGCAAAATCGCATTCCGCGACGCATAAAAAATGAATTAATAACTCACGCCACCCGTACACAACGCGCAAAAGGTATCGCGCCGTCAATTTGTATGATAAAAATAGATTATCATCATTCTCATCAGAAACACTAAATTGAAACAAAGTCTTGATTCAACTTCCAATGATACAGCGCGAATGAACAGTCAATTCAGTACTTACGCTATTTAATAACTCGTCAATTTCATCTGTGTTTTTCTCGTATAATAAAGCGTAAAGGGTTAAAGACATTCCATCTCTAGCAGCGAAAAACACCCGTTCTTGCAAGGGGCTAGACAAGTCTTCTAACATTAATTTGTCTTCCATTATCTAACCACTATTTTTTCTTAACACACCGTTTTATTTCATCAACACAACACGGGCACGTATGTCTATTTATTGATAATTTTTAAAACAACTCAACTCAGCAGCAAAATATCAAGACAACTTTTCACTGAATGAAAAACTGACGAATAGTGCGGCTGATTCCTGAATTTACGAAATGAGTAAAATTTTGACATTTTAATCGAATGGATGTAGTAGTACATTTAAATCGATTCATATACCGTTCGACTAATTTAAGCTTGGTATAGAAACTATTTCAAATTACTATGTGTGTTGGAAAATGGTAATTACAACTTAATTTACAAATTTTAAGAAAATGTTTTTACATTTTTATTAATAAATTTATGATATTGGAAAATTTCTATTAGCAATAAAAAAATACAATAAAAAGTTAATTGAAATGACTGCCACGTTTTGTCCAAAGTGGAGATTCTTGACCAATCAGAACGAAGTTTACTATTTTATTGTGTTCCAGTGATGCATTGTTACAAATCTATAGCATTGCTTTTTATTTACACAATGAGATTTTAAAGGCCTGTCTGCTTTTTTATGTTCAAGATCTCATTTCCTTTCGCAACTCAGTAGATTTTTTTGATATTTGTTTGGTTTTGACGTGTAACCTATTACTTTGACGGTTTCCCTTTATTTACAAAGAATTTAATATAAATCTACTTAGAATCTTTCCAATAATGTCGAGTGGTCAATGGGAAGTTGTTGGGAAGAGCAAGAAGTCTCAGAATGGCAAGATTAAAACAAAGGAAGATGAAAAGAAAGCTGTAAAAAATGGACCGAAACTAGAGGATGTCGGTGGGTAACTTTGGTTTTCCTATATATTTTGCTGTTGTAGTACTTAATGTTTGTCTTTTCAACAGGAAAAATTATTTGCTTCTTTCCTGTATATTGCTAATTCTTGAGTCAAAATAATATACCATAAAGTAATAACAACATTATTCCTGTAACAAACCCTGCTGTTATGTATCAATTTTAAAAAATTTCGAAATACCTAATAATTTAAAATACAAATGCAAGTGTGGTCCGATGCCGGTTAAAAATATTTAAACCGATATTTGTAATGTCTATTGATTTAATTACATATTAAAAGACCCCACAACATTTATTGACCAATTAATTTTCAAATAACTAATCTAACATCTTGGTTTTATTAATTTAATTCTAAATTTTTCTTATCTACTGTTGCAATATGTTATTGGCAGAATGATGTGGCATATTGAAAACCAACCTTACTAGTGTGTGCATGAGGTTTAGTTTGCAGTGCCTTTTGATCCCCTTCACTATCTCTTTTATAATAGTGCATTTATTTATGCAACACCAATTTTATATCAGTTGTTATTACTTGGAGATAATCAAAAAGGCGTATTAAATTATACTTATTAACAAAAAAAAATACTGAAAATTAGCATCATAAATTTAATATACAATAAAACCGATAACATATTAATTTAGTAGTATATCTCACGGAAGTTTTAATATAATCATAAAAATATACTAATTAATTTACAATCAAATATTTTTTCAGTGCCACATTCTCAAATAAAATCTTTCTATTCTGGAATGGAAATTGATGATGGAAAGCCCGTCAAGGAGAAGAAAAAGGATGGTGATAAGAAGAAGAAGCAAGACAAGAAGAATGCGGAGCCTCCCAAACCCAAACCTCCAAAAACGATTGAAGGTGCTCTAGAAATAGTAAGTTTCCCACTAATAAAATAGTTACCATAAAAACTCATAATATTAATTTCCCAAAATGTTAAGCAACAAAATAATTTTGAACACCTGCATTCTGCTATTTAGACATTTACTACACCGTGATAGCCTTGTTTTTTTGATAGTCTTATTAGATTGTCTAGCTCGCTCTACTTTAATAGTTTTAGTTCCTCGCCATGAATACAAGACATTTAAAACAATGATAGTTATTGTTTTCATTTAATAAATAGAAACTAAGTTCATGTCTCATAATTAACTATTTTGTTACAGATGGATGCAGCGGAACTAGCCAATATTATAACATCAAATAAAATCCGCTTTTCTAACGCCCCTCTTGTATGGCTGAAAGAAGTGGCTGCCTTCCTCAATTCCAAGACTCAGATAGATGTGGAGGACCCTACGTTTTCCTCGCACCCTCCCCTTTATCCCTTGTCTGCGGTCCCTGATGAGATCAGGAGATCTTTGTCTGATGTGCTACACGACGCTGGGAAGACCAATGCACAGTTGTTCTTTGATGTCACTTTAACAGCTCTAGCAAATGATATGAGCAGAGGTTTGTATGTCTAATTGTCTGTTTAATTTCTTTGTTATGTCTTGGTTGATTCATTCAATGTTTGTAATAACATTTGTTGCTATTACAACTATATTATTGTAATTGTAATGTGTTATAGAATTCCTGTACTTGTTTGATTGATGTGATGGAGACTTATAATGTATTTTAAGTAGATATTATATTTTACTACTGCAAATAATTAAGAACAGAATAACAGAATTATCATCCCAATTTCAACTTTTATTCATACCTTATCAGAGTAAATATTCAAAATATTTCATATTACTGTGTAAAGCAACTTCTAAATATTTTGCTTTTCGTTTTCGTTTTAGGTCAGTCCGTAAATGGTCACAGACTATTGTTGCAAATGCTAGCACAAGAATACCCTGAATTCTGTATCACCTCTGTACAAAAGAGTGCTAGTCTCCGCAACTCCTACCAGAATAGACCACCAATTGGACTCTCCCTTCTATGGGCGTTCGGTCAGGGTGGTAGTAGCGATTTTGCTGTGGGCCTGAAAGGTAAGTCATTGTAATAAAAACAGTTTTTTTGTTTTTGTAGCACCCTCAACATCGACATCAATATATTTTTTTTAATTCCATTTAATAAAAAGCAAGTATATTGTTGTATTATTACTGGTCAAAATCAATTATTTTCCTTATGAAAATGAGAAATTTTAGCATTTAAATCTCAGTTTTATTAAACCTTTCGAAGCAATATTAGTTATAAAACAATAGCAATAAATCTTACAAGTTATCGTTCAAAATGCTAATCAGTTTATGCTGGTTATGTAAAAGATAAGAGTGAAATTACTCAAGCCATAGGCCAAGATAATATTTCGGGTCACAATTGGAGATAATAGTTATCTCATGTCAATTTGACATTTTCCAAGGTAAAGTAAGATAAGTCGAGATTTTGCTCAGTAGGCAGTTACAGTTTTCATGCTTTAGTATGAAAATTATTTTTGATGTGATATGAAAAATAAAATAAAATTGGTTTTGTGCTGTAATATAAGTTCTAAGCTAGAAATTGAAGGCCCTAAATAAATTATCTAAATAGTCCATCATTAGGTCACTCCTTAACTAATAAACTATTAACACCTGTGAGTCAAAATACAGTTGTTTCATTAAATATTTTATTTCCAGCTTGGCAAGAACTATTCCTTCCTATTATCGAGCTTAAGAACTATTCCAAGTACGTAGTAGGATACTTGTCGAACCTCCTAGACGAACACGGTACGATGGACAACACTAAAGTGAGCCAGGACCAGCTGTTTGCCATGATAGATATGGTCAACAATAAGAGGAGTGCACTGCCTAAGGATCTGTCAAGTGACCTTATCAAGCAATTAAGTAAATATAAGGTAAGTTTATAATTTTTCTTAATAGGCCTGCAAATCTCTTATAATGCCTCTGATTTGTGGGTATCTATGGGCGGCGCTATAATAGTAATTTATTAATAAGTGAACTGTCTGCTCGTTGATTTCCATACCAAAAGAAACTTTTGTGTTTATCTTAAATCTAAAATAAGTCTCAGAAATCTTTCCCAATACTCCTGTCTAGTTCAAGACTAAACCTTTCTTCTTTGTCAAAGAAACCTAAAAAGGATATATAAACTGAACTTACATTTATTTTCAGGATATTTATTTCAATAAAAGCAATAATAAATTACAAGTTACTTTCAATCAACTTATGAAGAAGTTGCCCAATCAGTATCTGAGTGGTGCATCCCTGGATCCTTACCACAGGGTGCTAGTAGACTGCTTGGTCGACTGCCTCGCGAGGGATGACTCTTGCAATGCTACGTGGAGACAACTCTTCCATAGGTGTAGCAAACAGTCCGCTACATTACTTGATTATATTGGTAAGTTTATCTGTTCTTTTAAATGAAGACTCCTGGATAAAGAAAATAACTAAGAATAGCTATAAAAATCTATTTTCGCGAAAAAAAAAATACAATGTATCTGAGTTAGGCTCTTATAAAATATTTGTCGCATCCTGAATGCAAAAAATAATCTAATGGATTGTAATAAATGTGTAATGTGATTTTCATTTTCTACAAGACGCCAACTGGGAGGAAGTCAGCAAAAAACTGAGGCAGAAGTCTTTGAAAATGACAGTTTTGCAATACAAAGAAGTCTGTGGTGAAGCCTTGAAAGGCAAGAAGAAGGATGAAACTGTTGTAAAAACGAATAAAATATGCCAGGTAAGCAATAAAATTCAAAGTCATTGTATTCATAGCAGTCTCCAAAAGTGCCCAACCAAACAATAACTTTGAAGTACACTATTACTTACATCGACTATTTAAAACCGTAAACAATACATGTTACAATATCATATTTATATTCAATAATTTAAGCCTGGTAATATTTTTATTTTAATATAACTAGTTATTCAGTAAACTGAAAATACAGCAAAAAATATCAAGAACCAAACCACCACCATAAAATCGACTAAAATTATCGTTACCTTTGATGACATTTGAATCACGACACTATTGAGGTCATATGTCATGTCACATCCATATCTCAATGTTGCCAGGTCATATTTTTTTATAGGACAGTAATTTTTATTTTCGACGACAGTTACTGATTAATTTTATTTATTATTCGAACTATTCATTGGATTTATAACGTAAGTGAAAAAATAAAACAAGGAAAGCTTTTAAATAAAGTATAAGTTAGTTAACTATTGTAAAATTCTTAATAAATCTTAATACAAATTGAATGTGAAAGTGATGGTAATAAATTCATCTTAAACATTGGTCACCTTTAATTTGTCAGTAGAAAAAAAACTAGTTTCGAGGGCGACATATTTTTTCACAAATAAATCTATTTTAATTTCTATCAAGTGTATTCGACATTCGTTGAAGGTAATTATAATAAATTAAATTTAGTAAAAATAAGTTATTTAAATCTAGTACGTCAGTGCATCATTCCAGCTTCATGATATTCGAAATAGTTTTGTGATATTGGTGCGTTTCTAGTTTCTAGT